GCATAATCATTTTGGGCTTTCCTCTACTCATCCTAGTAAGAAAATTTTCCTAAGTAGCCATTTTTAAAAATACAAAATTGTGCTTTGTTCTATTATATTATCAAATAAGAAAAAGTATTTCCTATTTCTAAGATGTATAAACAAGAGCTAAAGGCAACAAAGGTTGCATTTGCAACGTGTCACAGTATTTGTCTGACACACTAGAATAAAATCAGTTTGTACTCCAACTCTATCTCCCTATAACACACCCCCCGATTCCTAAAGTTCTAGTTCAAAGAAGGAACTTATCAAAAATGTCTTTAGAGATGATGTGCAAACCTTTTCCATCTCGAGGTGGGGCTCCTTTTGCTTTAAAACTATCCATTGGTGCCTTTGTATCTGTTTCCAAAGCAATACTTATCTGTATCTCAGACTTGAACTTGGTGTATTTATTACTCAGCAACTGGTACCATTTTGGTGCCTAGACAATAACAACAGAACATCTTAATAGTTAATAGGGAAAAAAGGTATTGGGAAATGTTCTATAATGTTCCAAATAAATTTCGTGTAGTTTTCATCATTTTATCTTTTAAAACATTTTTTTTCATCTTTTCCTCAAAAGAAATTAATCCTGCTTAGGAATGCATCAACTGAATTTCCCTTTGAAAAAAACTAAGTAAAAGTTTAAATTGTCTTCCCTTCTTCCATTCTTATGCTTTAACAGGTAAAATATTAAAGAAAACAATACCTTTGGCCTTATATCCCCAATCTTAATTCATTCCTTGAACAACAAAAAACTATGCATTTTTTGTTTACCTAATCCTTATTTTTTCACATTATTATATCGTTTTCCCCTGTCATATTTCTGCTTATATCAAATAAGGACAAGAAAATCTCAGTGTTGATAGAAAACACTAACAAAATATTAAAGTAAAGGCCTAATGGTAGAGTTCTGCATTATCAACCATGTATTAACACTTGACTGATAATGAAATAAAAGCCTTCTCACAGAACAAAGTATCCTAAATTACTTGAATATCCCCTCTACAGCAACCTGAGAAATTCTAGTACCCAAAGCAGCCTGAAAAATCTCATGGCTACATGTATCTTTCTTTTTTTTTTGAGACAGAGTCTCACTCTGTTGCCTAGGCTAGAGGGCCATGGCATCAGCCTAGCTCACAGCAACCTCAAACTCCTGGGCTCAAACAATCCTTCTGCCTCAGGCTCCCAAGTAGCTGGGACTACAGGCATGCACCATCATGCTCGGCTAATTTTGTCTATATATATTTTAAGTTGTCCGGCTAATTTCTTTCTATTTTAAGTAGAGATGGGGTCTTGCTCTTGCTCAGGCTGGTCTCCAACTCCTGACCTTGAATGATCCTTCTGCCTCTGCCTCCCAGAGTGCTAGGATTACAGGTGTGAGCCACCACACCCAGCCCAAGGCACCATTTCAATGATTGGAAACAGTATTCCTACTCTGACCATTGTTATACAAAGATATAGTAATTGGTGCTTATACTGATCAAAACCATAAACTGTTATGCTATATTCAAGCTATGTTTGATAATTAAAATAGGATTAACTAGACCATAGGTTAAAAAGAAAAGCAACAACCTAGTTTTTTTAAGATAAAAATGCATAATATTTGTTGCTGTATTTCTCATGACAAATACTTTCTAATTTTGAGCATAAACCTGAAAAAGATGTTTAGCTACTCAGAGAATTTATATTTTTCTGTTATATAATTCAGAAAAATAAATCTGGATTTTTCTGTATTTATACTTATTTATAACCAATTTATTTTGAAATTCAAATATTCTACTAGTCAATTTCAAATATTTATGCTGATGAACAAAAGAGAATAAGCAAGACAGCATTTGGTTTTCATAAAACTAAGGTAATTTCAAACCATTTCTCTTTAACTTTGATAAATATGTTGACAAAATATCCTAAAGGACTGGCATGAGGAATGCCACGACCATTTACCGACATGATCTCTTCTCTCAGATACCCTCCTCCTTAGAGGATCTACCTTCTCTGCAACCAAACTGACTACAGAAGTGCCTTCCAGATGTGTGCATGTTGCAGGAAAGAAGTTGAGTTAGGGCCCCTTCATTCACCAGGGGCCCAATGAACCTTCTTGGTTCAGGGTCTAGAGACTAAAGAGGGAAAACCTTTTTAAGTATAAGGCCTAGGGGCAGAGAGGTCATGAGTGCCCAAGAATGGGGGAAAAAACAAGTCCTTTTAAAAATTATTTTAAAATTTCAGCTTCTTTTGAATGAACCCCACATTGGGCCAACCCTACTAATCATTTGCAATTATCATTTCTATCAGCAGCAAAAACATTAGTAATAGATAAATTTTTCTTTACAGAATCCTAATTTCAGATTCAAATCAAGAATGGAATTTATACATACATAATGAGTGAGATGTGCACCATCTGGGGGATGGTCATGCTAGAAACTCAGACTTGTGGGGGGAGGGAGGGAAAGGGCATTTTTTGAAACTTTAAAATTTGTACCCCCATAATATGCCGGAAAAAAAAAAAAAAGAATGGAATTTAAAACAAAAGAGAAGATATTAGCAGGGTTTTTTTTTAACTTTATTTGCCTTAAGAAAATTGTGACCAAAGACATTAGGAAAAACTGAAACAAAGATTTCTAAAGTCAACCATGTACAAAAAGGTTAGAGGATACTTAAAAAGTTATAGGAAGAAACATGTTCAATAATAAAAGGCACTAACACAGGATTAAAGATCCTGAGTTCTTTCAGGGGAGTAGGGTACCGGTTATATAACATTAAGTGTGTTTCAGTAAGTTCACTTGCTCTGACTATGACATAAGGCATGCAAAGGAGCAGGAAGCAGGGAAACCAATTAGGAGGCTACAATGATAGTCACGGCAAGAAATGACAGTGGCTTAGGTTGGGATGGCAGCAGTGAAAAGCAGAATAGTAGATGGATCAGGAGGGAAAAAACCAACTGAAATGGGTAGCTATGGAGGGATAAAAAAGGAAATGTCAAGGAAGATTTCTTATTTCTAACTTGTATAACTGGAAGGAGAGTAGTGACCATTCACCAAAGCAAGGAACACTGGAAAAGACCACCTTTGAAAGGAAAGCCTAGGAGTGGAACACACTAAATTTGAGGTAACAGCAAATTGGACATAGGTTTGAGCTCAGAGACACATTTCTTTGAGAAAGATAGTTCTTGATCAAAAGAATGATGAAAAGCTTGAGATATTCTAAATCAAATTCATAAACTAAAACTTAAAACTGCCATATTGGCTCAAGTCCATGATCTAACACATCCAGTATTTCATGTCCTTTTCGTTAATCTGGTATCTATTGAAAATAATCAACATCTAACATAATTCTTAGCAAAACATCAAAAGGGCAATACCTGTTTTGTTTCTTGAGCAGTTCTTAAGTCCAGAACAATGTAACCTATGGTTTCCTTGGCTGAAGATGAAGGATCCAAGGCAAAACACTGAAGTTTGATAGGAGTACGCTGTAGCCTATAACAAAACAATTTACATGATAAATAAAAATGTTGTTTAATATTTAACTTTTTATTAGCCTTGAAAAAACTGCCTATTATCAAGATATCTTATATGTATATGCAAATTTTGTTAGATAAGCTGTATCTATTCTTTATTTTCTATAAAACTCCAACTGGCAAGAACTATTAACTATATCTACTTATCTATATACCAACTAAGTAATATACAAAGCATGTCAAAATCTTAGTCTGTCTCATCAAAAGGCTTTCATCTAGCTCAATGTTTATCAAGTCTCTATAAAGTATAAAATCTTTTGAAAGTCAAAAATTATCCACACATAAAATTCCAAATACACATATATGCTTACAGTACTTTTGTAGACTCAAAAAAACAAACTTAGGAATTAAATACCATAAAATCATACACTATTAAAATTTAAATTCATAATGTAATGTAACATATGACAATGTTCTGTAGGCATGATACTGACTGGTACACAGCATGGGCTCTTTTTCAGTTTGTAGCCCCTATATTTACTTATGCATTGAGCTGAATAGATTTTGCCATCACTTTTATCTAGTGGAATTACTATGAAACTGAACTTAGCACAAAATTATCACTTGTAAATTCAATTTATCTGTATTATTTTCTCAGCCTACAGCAATCACAGTGGCACCACTTGTTACTAACCTAATTACACACACAACCACAAATGCAGGCCCTAACATCTCACGGCAGGATTTTGTCTAAGCAGCTGTTTCAGATGCCACTAAAAGGAAATACAGCATTTTTACATTCTCTAACAATTTAATACCCCTTCAAATAAATCTATGCATTACTTAGCTATAGAAGCAAATAAGTTTCTCCTTGCTTTCCTTCTTTTTTTAACTTTCTATTCTTTTTTTTTCCAAAGAAAAGCAAACATTGGCTTGATTCAAAAATGAATGTTTCCATTGCAAGATAAAATGAAATATAATTAGAATGTTATGCTTTCTTTTAAAACTTCAAATGGATATTTCTCATAAAATAAAAAATCATACTTTTCATAAACATTAAAGCCTATTATATAAAATTGGTAGCAATTAATAGCTTCTTTCTTAATCTTACTATATAAATAATCAGTGAACCATTAATCTCTCCCTACTGTGCAAAGCCAAATGGTCAAAGCAATTGATTTCAGATTTTGCCTTTTTTGTTTTTTTTTGAGACAGAGTCTCACTTTGTTGTCCAGGCTAGAGTGAGTGCCATGGCGTCAGCCTAGCTCACAGTAACCTCAAACTCCTGGGCCCAAGTGATCCTACTGCCTTAGCCTCCCGAGTAGCTGGGACTACAGGCATGTGCCACCATGCCCAGCTAATTTTTTACACATATATATATATATATATATATATATATCAGTTGGCCAATTAATTTCTTTCTATTTATAGTAGAGATGGGGTCTTGCTCTTGCTCAGGCTGGTTTTGAACTCCTGACCTCGAGCAATCCGCCCGCCCCGGCCTCCCAGAGAGCTAGGAGAGATTTTGCCTTTTAAAAAAAAAAATCTCTCAAATTTATACAAAGTTAATACTTTTGGAGAATTATAGAAGTATGAAAGAAAAATTTTAAATTCTTGCACTTTTTACAGTTAGAGAGTTCTAAGACATTGAAAGGCATTTTTCTTTTTAACCTATGAAAGAAAAATAATGTACAGAGAAAGATGAAATATTTTTGTCGTGCAGGCAATAATTATGCTTCATACTGGAATCATTTTGAATTTGTGTTATTTTTCCTCTTAAGAGAAGCCAGGAAGCAGAAAATCCTTTGAAACTAATAAATCATCTCAGGTGCTTTCAAACAATTCCTTTTTGTACAGGAACTTCTAAGCAATCACGCTATTGCCATAATGAAGTTCTTTTGCGTAGTTGGGTATCTTTCCTTCACTTCTTTTTCTGATAGACTGGACAAAGTTAGATAGAGAGATCTCAGGGGAAGGGCACTCATGAATGAAGAGGCATACATCTCCTCTGAGGGCAGTTGTGTCTGTGCAATTTTCTTTTCATGGCAAAATTAGCTGGTCTCTTTCCATTGATAAGGAGAAGACTCATCATAAAAATAAAAAATACAAAAAGGAATGGGTGAAATCTCATTTTTCTGCCACACAAAAGTGGACCAACAGCTCTCAAAGTAAACCAAACAATCTGTAGTCTGTGCAGTATCTGTGTGGCTCTCCTCACATCCTAAAGACAACCTCAGAGAATTGCCAGCTGCCTTTTCCAGAAAGGTTAATGATCACATCAGACAGGGTTATAGAGTGCTGGCTGTGGTCAGAGCCTCCCTCAGCTTCAAACCCCTCCTCCACTTCAAACCCCTCCTCCACTTCTCTCCTCTCCCCCCCCCTTTATTTCCATAAGCAAATATTGGTGAAATAGACCATTCAAGCATGCTGTAACTTCGGTGGACGTCTTCTAACTTTCTATTCTAATATGATTTAGTACTGAGAATAAGCAAGTATTGAAGTGATTATGTGTTTCCCAGAAAATTTATGTTCAATCTTTTAATAAATAAAAGCATTGCTGTTCTTGCCTGCTCTGGTCCTAGAATTCATGAAAAAATAAGATGCTAAAACTTTAAGCCTATTTCATATATTAATTTGTCTAAAATTAAATACAAATTAATTACAAAGAATCCCTTATATAATTACTTGCATAACTTTTCACTGAGTACCCCTCCACATATCCTTGGCAAGTCAGGTAAATATACAATAAATGAATTAACAGAAATTATAGTGACTGTCAACCCATATTTAATATTGGGTAGGCATCATCAAGGTATTTCTAAAATATCTACTGTCTTACACATTAGCAAAAAGAATACCCAAAAACCTCTAAGTATAGTATAGTGGTTAAAATTGTGCTCTACCACTATCCAGAGGACAGACTTAAGGCAAGTTACTTAATCTCTCAGACCTCAGTTTCCTCATTGGAATACCAGGAAAATAATAATACCAACTTTACAGGGTTGCTCTAATGTTTAAATGTTTTATTTTTGTAAAGTATTTTGAAAATTTCTTGACATATTAGAAAAACATTCAATAAATATGATTATTACTATAATGTAATGAGAGATATAAAATTTACAGGTTGTGTATTCCTCATCTGAAATGCTCTAAAATCCAAAACTCTTGAGAACTGACATGAAACCATAAGTGGGAAATTCCAAGCATAAGCACTTACAGAAGCCTTGTTTCATGTACAAAATTATTAAAGATATATGAAATGACCTGTAGGATATATGTATAAGGTACACATGAAGCAAATGAATTTCGTGTTAGACTTGGGTCCCATCCCTAAGATATCTTATAGGTATATGAAAATATTTCAAAATCCAAAATAATCTAAAATCAAAACGCTCCTGGTCCTAAGCATTTTGAATAAGGGTATTCAACCTGTGTTTATCTGTAACAGCCTGAAAAAGAAGAAACTGATAAAGATACTAATTTAAATTAAAAATAACAGTCACCTGTGCTGATGAAGTGCTTTCCTGTCAATTTCCCAGGCTAACTCTGTAGCAAATTCTGGCTGGTCAGTGTGGTTCACAGGATCAGTAGCCAACTGTTCTCCATCAAACTTTGCTTCTACTACAAGCATATGCTTTGGACGTTTGGGGAAATGACGACCTGAAGAAACAAGACCATATAGATTAACTGGAAGTATTGGTGGTTGACTTATACATCCATAAATTACCTTGCTAACACATAGACATACACTTACTTTCGTAATTCATAAGAAACATGAATCAAATGAGAAGCTATAATTTATAAATTAGTGCTTCTCAAACATTAATGTGCATAGTGACCCCGTTAAAATGTAGATTCTAGTTTAGCAGGTCTAGGGTGGACCTGAGAGTCTGCATTTCTAACAAGATCTCTGGTAACGTGAATGCTGCCATTTTTGGTTCACACTTTGAGTAGCAATGATCTCAATAACATTTAGAATTAAAGAGCTAACAATGTGACTAATCTAAAATATCCAATTTTAGATATTATTATACCAGTACTTAATACAGTTGAGACTCTGTCTCAAAAAAAAAAAATTATGTATCAATAGTACCTACTATTACTTAGAAAATAAAACCAATGCTACTTAGGGACCATTTGGAAGCTGGGGATGGAGAGGGAATCCAGGATGAGGATGACTCCCAGGTTTTTGGCTTGAGGCAACAGTGTGGTTACCATGAATGGAAATACAGTAGAAACATAAGAAAAGGAACAGTTGGAGAGACGATCACATGCTACTTTTAGGTATGTTTGTGGCAACAACCTAACTGATATTCCTGACTTAAGGTTCTCTTCCTGCACATTGCCATTAAACTGAACTTGAGAAAAACACTCTCCTATTTAGGAATATATGCTGCCAACCTATTTCTTAGAACATTAATTCTAAACTCCTTGGCTTTCAAGATCCTCCAAGGCCTATTTCCTCTAGTTATAAAAGCTCATGTTTTACTATGATATTACTAAATATTCACCTTCCTTCCACCCTAGTCATCTTGCTGTCCTCTTCACTGTTGCAGCCACCATGCCACCCTGCTCATTCCCCTGTTGGCCTGGTTGTGCAATCACCTGGAATGGCTTTCTTCTGTTCTCACCTATCTAAAGCTTATTTATTACTCGAGGTATTTCAGCCATCATCACCACCCGCCCCAAAAGCTATCTTTACAGTCCATATTACATATTTTTAATATATTATACCCCAACATATTGTGTCCTGCACATTAATTTGATCTCCCCACACAGACCTCTACATCCTGAAAGGAAATGGATATTTGTTTCCTCATTGCATGGGGCACAGTTCTAAGTCTAAAAACTTCTGTTAACCAAATTATAAGATGATTTCGATCCTGTCTTTAAATAATCAGTAATCCACAGTTAATAGCACCCCAGCTCTTCAGGGCTTCTAGTTAGTTTCTTGTTACAAAACTCAAAAATTAGGTTTACAATATTTCCTTCTCTTTCACCTCCCACACAAGTGCTAGGCCTCCACAAAACACCCTCCCAGTAGGGGTGGGGGAATGGGAAATCCAGCCATGCCTCTGGTCCCCCTCAGAATGACTCCTTCTTAACATAGTAGTCATAAACTGTCCCCAATTTACGTATCAACTACTATGCCCTTCACTTTCCTGCACTCTGCTCTTCAACTACACTGTATTTAAGCAAGGCAAAACATGCCTTGCTTTTCCATACTTTAAGTACCCTTTGCTCTTCCCTTCCCCTGGAATGACTTTCCTTTTTTCACCTGACAAAAGACTAATAATCATCTTTAGGACCCAAATAAATGTCACCTCCTCTGGTAAACATTCCCCAGCTTCACCAGACAGAGGTGGTCATTCCTTCTTCCACACCCCGATGAATTATTTGTTGATACATTCTCCAACCTACACCCTTAGCTTTTAGAACCAAGACTGTCTCATTCTTACACTACCAGCGCAGTTCCTGACACTCAATGAGTTCCCAACAAGCGTCATTCATTCAACGAACAAACTGTTAAGGAATGGATAATACATCTTAACAAGGTGTAGTCCCTTAAGGCCTCCATCAAGGCTTGTAAAGGGAACGGCCTCCACAATATTTCTTAAATTGCAGGAAACATGTATTCAAATCAAAGGCAAAGCTCTTGCGAATGCAGAACGTGCTTCTCAGGAATACCTTCAGCTTTTATAGAAAAGCCATCGACGTGCTGATTCTGATGGAAATCGTCTTTTCTAGATTCTCTGGGGCTAAGGCTAGTCGCGCTAAATATCACTTATCCCTAATAGCGCTCATACTCCCCTGAGAGATTTTTAAATCAATTGCCTAACAGACTTCACTACATACAACTTTGAACAAGTCTGTTGGGACCACAAAAGCAAAGATGACAAGGTTCTCAAGGATAACAAGCCCTCGGTCTCACACTACTCTTTTAAAATTCAGGAAAGGCGGTTGCAAAACCAAGTCTCGGGCCGCTCACCTTCTAGGATGGACACGACGATGAGCAGCTGGTCGGACTTGGAGACCATGGTCGCCGCGGTCGGCGGCCCGGAGGCGGGGTCTGCTGGGGGAAAGTGGAGTCCAGGTGAGTCTCAGGTAAGCCGCGACCACAGGCAGGACTCCTGGCGGGGCCCCCAACGCCCACCACGGCCCCTGACGCCCAGACCCCGCTCCGGGGCCTGTCCCACCGCCGCCTGCAGCGCACCCGGCTCCCCTGCCCCGCGCCGCCAGCCCAGGCCTTGACCCTGCCCCAACTCCAGGCAAAAGCTGCTCTGCAGCACGGTCCGTCTGCAGGTAGAAGTGAGCCCGCCGCCCAAGGACCTTTTGCCGCCTCCGTAGCCGCTTTTCAAACGCCCGGGCAGCCGCCGCGGCCGCCGCCGCACCCTGCTTCCGCCTAGCAACCGGGCCCGCAGGCCCAGTGCCCCTGGGGAGGCTGGAGGACAAAGGGCGATAGAGACCAGGGCAGTCGAGGATAGAACGCCCCTCAGGCCGCCTCTCCTCCCGCCCTTTTACTCTCGGTTCCAGAGCCCTAGGGAGGACTAGTTCATTACCTCACAGCGCCCCCTGCTAGCCGGATGGGGAAACGCCGCAATTTGATGAGGACTAGCTGCGCAGGCGCACTACTGCTGTTAACCGCTTCCTGAAGCTGCGTAGCTTGCTCTAAGAAGAGTGTCACGGTGTTCTCTGCTTCGTGCCTTGGCCACAGTCTGAGAACTATATTAATGGGAATTTTTTAAAAAGTAACAAAAAAATCCTAGCTTAGTTCAGGTACCCAGTGTCAAAGCTGCTTTAAAAATTAAATCACAGAAAAATAATGACTTAGGTCTGAACTCTACGGCCCCATTGTTCTTGAGCCGTACCTGGAAGCTTTGCCCTTTGAAAGAAAGTAGCGTCAATACGGTAATTACGGTAACTGTTGGCGCTGACGTAGAATCTCAGAGAATTTCCTGTTCCACAGAAATTCCCCTAAAACAAAAACATTGTCACATGGGTAGGGAACTTTAAAGGTATAGGTTCTTCTACCCCCGACCACAAAGTATCTAATTAGCAAAATCAAGACCAAAAAGTAATGCGTCGAAATGCTGCCAACCATCGTGTTGCCCTTACGTCTCCCAATTTCGGACTTTATTTTAGTAAAGGTTAGAAACCGTTGGAGCTTTAGCTAGCTTGAAACCTAGATAACCAAGTCAGTTGCAGCGATTGTGGACATTTTAACATTAAAATTTGTAATACTTCTGCTTCGAAAAACAAAAATAAATCACGATAATAGGTGCCAGGAAAAAACCCAGC